AAAAAAAAATACAGCATAAACAATGAATATTGATAACCAGATTCACAAACATGTAACTTATTCTTCAGAACTCTATTTGATCAGTTGCAGCAGTAGTAGTTGTTGTTGGTGTGTTTTGCCTATGGATACTGTAACTTAACATTTTCACTAAAACCTTTTTATTCACTTCAGGCAACTTATAATAATCGACTGTCAAATTGTAGTTCATTCTGAAGACTTATTAAATGGCCACTGTTTCTGGGTAAGTTTTTAAAAACATTTTTACTATATGCTGTTAAGAATTTCATGGATTGGTTGAAGTTAGACATTAACACCGTTGGATATGGATTCAGTGATCTAGAAGTTAAGCATTCGTGTGCGAGACCAATAGGTCCTGGGTTCGAATCTTGCAGTACGAGGTCGTAGATGCGCACTTCTGAGGAGTCCCACAATAGGACGAAACGGTCATCCAGTGCTTTCAGGTTTTCCATGGTGGTCTAGCTTCAATTGACTCATGATCTTAACTAATAAATTGTTGTATAATAGTGAAATGGTACACCTCGTTTTGTTAAGCAATATTTGAAGATCATTTCATCATGATGTTAAGTTATGTTGCTGATTGATACTGTACAGCTATTTAATTGTCGCTTAAGAGTCTTTCTCAGTAATGACCCAAATATCTCATACATGAATGTGCTCTGCAATTAAAACTCTCCTCTGACAAACACGATAACTCAACGAAAATGACTCCTACTTCCGTTACTGCACGATGTAGCATGATGGTCAGTAGATTACTTATCTCAAATAGTTGAACTCTAACAAGTACAATATCTTACTGTAACTATCAGGGTTTACAAAACTATCAGTGATCCTTTACATCACCCTATTATTACCAATCAAGATACCGTATAGCTTTGTTTTAATAATCTTTGAGGGAGGGTAATTAAAAATGTTCTTCATAACCGACTGACATCAGCTGATTCAAATGATTAAATAATGACTCTCAAATAAAGATGGAATCCAGTTCGCGCGTTTCGTCCTATCTAAGGTTCATCAGCTGGATGTACCTGCATGTCAGAGTTGATATTCACTACGGGACTCAGACCTAGAACCATTCGCTTCAAATGACATTACATTATCCACTTAGTCAAACTTATTTTCTTAATACAATAATAATGTTATTATTATTGTTATCATTATTTCTATAGATTTGGAATAACACGTTCATTAATTCATGCATTTGATCCACATGGTAAACATTACACACCAACAATTAAACCAACAACTGGTTTTTCAGCATCAGCTGATGCTGAACGATTACATCGGGCTATGAAAGGTCCAGGTTAGTAGAAAAAAATATTATCGTATAGAATGTTATTTGAAAATTGATTGGTTGTGTGTGTGTGTGTATGAATAATCAACTTTAGTCAATATAAATGTGATATCTAGCATGGCCGAGTAGTTTTCTATTCATTTAGTGTGTCAATGCTGCATACACTTACTTACTTAATTACGCCCGTTACTCTCGATGGAGCATAGGCTGTGATCAGCATTCTCCAACCCACTGGGTCCTGAGCCTTCTTTTCTAGTTCCATCCAATTTTTCTTCATTTTACTTATGTCTATCTCCATTTCCCGGCGTAACGTGTTCGTTGGTCTTCCTATCCTCCTTTGGTCTTTAGAATTCCATGTGAGGGCTTGCCTTATGACGCAATTGGGTGCTTTCCTCCATATGTGTCCTATCCACTTCCAGCGATTCTTCCTGATTTCTTCCTCCGCTGGGATCTCGTTTGCTCTATTCCACAGTAGATTGTTGCTGATATTGTCTGGCCAACGGATCCGAATTATTTTGCGTAGACAACTGTTAATAAACACTTGTATCCTCTGCGTCATGGCTTTCGTAGTTGTCCAAGTTTCCGCCCCATCCAGTACAACTGTCTTGACATTTGTATTGAAAATTCTGACTTTGATGTTGGTTGACAGACAGTTGTTTTAAGTTTCAGATGTTCTTCAGTTGTAAATATGCTTCTCTTGCTTTGCTGATCCACGCCTTCACATCTACATCAAATCTCCCCGTGTTCATCAATGATGCTGCCCAGATATGTAAAGGACTTTACATCTTCCAAATCTTCTCCGTCAATTGTGATTGGATTGTTGTATGTTTTGTTGTATTGGAGAATCTTGCTTTTCTCTTTGTTGATGTTGAGACCTACTGCTGTTGAGACTGCTGCTACACTGAAGTTTTCTCCTACATTTCTTGTTGCGTGTGTGATAGAGGAGCCAAATCATCTGCTAAGTCTAGATCGTTCGGCTGCATCCCAACTGTTCACTATATCCCATGCTTCCCCCTAGATGTTGACTTCTTCATAATCTAGTCCATCACCCGAAGAAAGAGAAAGAGTGAGAGTAAGCAACCTTTCTTGACACCGGCCTGTCTTACGTACGACAATGATATATTAAATGAACAAAGAAAACGAAAATGCTTAAAACTGTGTTATATCACACATTTATTAAACACTTCAAAATGTCGGTTACTCTTTATTCATTCAAGTTAAATTGAATCTTGAACATTGTAGTTGTTTCATTGAATATAAATTGTTGATGTTTATCCTTGAATTTGATTGTATAGACAAACAGGATATAAATAACCAATGAGAATTTCATGATACATAGATTTTTTTAGTGTGAATGAACTAGAAAATGGACATTTCTAGGGGGGAGAAAAAGATTAGTTACTACTATTCTGTTGAAACTATCAATTACCAAGACGACAATTATAAATCGATTATAATAAACTCTACATTGATGTCTAGGTATATTATGTAACAAAGAAAAAGTATTATATAATATATTCTCACACCGTTGGATGCCATCCAGCTCAGTGGTCTAGAGGTTAGGCGTTCGCGCGCGAGACTGGTAGGTCCTGGGTTCGAATCTCGCGCATTACTGAGGAGCCTCGCAATAAGACGAAATGGCCGTCCAGTGTTTTCAGATTTTCAATAGTGGTCTAACATCAGTCGGTTCATGATCTCAGTCAAAAACTTAATAATCCCCACAACCCTATACTGATAATATTTGAGGTGTTTTTCTTGGATAATCAGAATCTCCAGCGACCCTGTTTTCCCATTATAAAGTGACAATTAGGAAAAAGTTATCTCTAATGATATTACATCTTAACTTGTCATGTGGATTTCTACAACGAACTGTAAAGTTTGAAGATGTTACGTTCTATGCTGAGGTTAACTACTTTAAATCTAGATTAAGACCTTGACGGAATAGGCTAACTGGCTTAAACTTGAGGCTAGTTTGTGTGAGTTCGAAGTGAGACCAACTGTTTAGGGTAGAGAAGAAAATACTATTCTATCACCTAATTGGCTGACAAGCATGAGAGAGAAGACAAGTCAACTGGAACACTACTGGAAGTTCGACATTGTAGCGGTAAATAAATCCCCAAAATAAATAGCCCTAAGTTTTCGACATTGGATGCTGACCATATGTTTTAGTGGACTCATCTAGCTGAAGACGCTCGGTCATGCATCCGCACCAGATCACGTGTGGTAACGCTGTGCTCAACATCAACCGCGATCGCTAGCCAGATTAGATCCGAGAATTCCGATATATTGGTCGTCGCCAAATATACTCTTCCTATCTCCTCGAAAAAAATTTTTTTTCATCAACATTAACACCGTTGAACATCGGTTCGGTGGTCTAGAGGTTAAGCATGCGCGTGCGAGACTGATGGGTCCTGGGTTCGAACCACGCGGGACGGGGTCGTCGGTGCTCATTATTGAGGAGTCTCATACTAAGACGAAACGGCCATCCAGTATTTCCAAGTTTTCCAATTAACTATTCAACTTTAATATTACACTCTCAAATCGTTAAGACTTCACTTAGACTAGTTCTCATCCTAGATACTTCAAAAATAGTATCTTTTCATGTTGTGGGTAATAGAGGAGTGGTAAGCAATCAGATATCTTGATTTCTTCTATATTTGTAATCGAATCCCTACTTTTCACTGATTATACACTTGCTATTAGTAAAGAATATACAATTGGTCATCTATCTAACACATCTTAACTGTCATATCTCTTTCCTTATTACTCAAATTACTGCTGGAGACTTGAGGGGGGGGGAAAGAATTGTTAAGACAGTTCTGAAATTTCCCATCCCGAATTTGTTTGACTTAACAATGTAATTTAGTTTTATCAAACAATGATCGAGGACAGTATAGTTTACAGATGAGATTAGAACAACAGTGAATCGATTGCTATTCAGGGTTAAGTATTTAAAGTAGGGATAAGACATTTAAGGTTAGAGTTTTCATCATGAACTGACACCAGCATTCATGTAGAGATACTCTCTCTTCATATAGGTGAATAACCTTCGTGCAAACATTCTAGATCACTATCTGATTAGTTAATCCATAAAGTATAGTGATATGGAGTCAAGGCTTGTTTTTTCCAAGGATTCAGTGTTTAAGGTCAAAACTGAAGGATAGTTGTATCAATTATGTATTAACTATAGAGACGGAATTAAGGATTTAACACTATCAGTTTAGTCCATTGTGATAAAACGCAACTGTTCTTTCATATTTCAAATGGTTTATGCAATACACAAAGATATTTCTACTGGTCATTATTCCTGTTATTTGAATTCCCCATTGAAGCTTTAAAGTTCATCGCTAGGCCATACCTTCACACGTAATCAGCAGTGAGCGTCCATGATCTCGCACGTGGGATTCGAACCCAGGATCTTCGTTTTTGCACGCGATTGCACAATCGTGGACGCTCACTTCTGAGGAGTGCCATACTAGAACGAAACGACCGTTCAATGCTTCCAGGTTTTCAATAGTGGTCTAGCTTAGATTGACTCGTGAATTCAACTGCTATATATGTATGTGTTTTTCATCTATCCGGTTATTGGTTGTCAGTGATATATACACTTTTTGTAAAATTCAACTCACTCATTCTGTATTCACGTATTTTGGCTAATTGCTAATACAGCTGAATTCATTGCTCTTACATTGGTCGTCTGCAATTTGACCGTTTCGTCCTAGTATGGGACTCCTCAGCAGTGAGCGTCCACGATCCCGCCCTCTGGACTCGAACCAAAGACCTTCAGTCTCATACGCTAATATTTAATCTCCAGACCACTAAACCGGTATCCAACGATGTTAATATATATTTAAACCTTTTTATTTGTATTTGATTCAACCCAGGTAGCATTAATATAAGAAGCGATTATTGACTACAATTTCATGTACCATGTAATTTGTCTGGTTTGCCTCATGATATCAACTAGACTGTGTTAAAATCTGATCACTATAAATAGATCTCAGAATGTTATTGATTTGAACAATGACTAAATGTAGAATTTAGGATAAAAGGCTTTTTCCTATATCAGCTTCAACTATCGGATATACTTTCTTCTCAAAGTTGATATTTCTGAAATTCTTAAGAAACACAAAAGACATTTATATGACTCATTAAATAAATAGATACTGATCTAACTTAGATAACTACTAACAACTTGTAAGCACTTAACAGCTGTTTCATCATAGTGTATGACTCTTCAGCAGTGTACATCCATAAACTCGTATGCGGTAATGGTGCCCAGAACCTTCGGTCTCGCTTGTGAACTCTTAATTCATGATTTCGATGTAACTAACCACAATTTATTTATCTAAACACATGGACATTGGTACAAGGGGGCACCGAATACATATGCACCACACATATCATTCGATTTGTGTGTGGGCTATAGTACTGCCCAAGTCCCAAAACCGAAGCACATCACTTTCTCAAGGGGCTACACTCAGAGCCTTCGATCTAATGGTGTGATCCACAAAGCACTGGAACAACGTCAGGAGATACAGTCCCATGGTAGTTGCTAACCAACAATTGGTTCATACTCCATTTGTTCCCTCATGATCCTGTACTCCATGTGCACCATTGATTTGGAATGAGAGTTTTTCAACTTCCGCATGTAGACTCTCCGTATCCACCAATTCAGTTAAAGCGTTGGACATTCGGTTTTCGTCCTCTCAATTTCGTAAGCAACACCCATGGTGCAGGAAGGTAGTGAGTGGGACTTCTCTGACAGTGGTTGTATACGCGTGGTCGTATGAGAGCATTTGGATGTGGAGAGGGGACTCTCCCCACTCTCGACCGTACTAGAGCATTGGGAGGGGGGCAACTAACTACAATAGGTAACAAGTTACAATCTTGACATTCATCACAACATTTATTGATAAGAGTATACAGTCATCTATAATGAATGACAATTAACCATAATAAATTCATAGTCAGTCAGTCAGTCATTCAGCTACAACGTAGGACCAGGTACATATACGCATCGGTCCAAGTTGGCATACCTCATTAACACAACAAGATGAACATCAAATTGATAGAATTAGTTACCTAAGTGGTAGTAATATATAGAAAAAAGATTGTGTATAAGGATATAGTACAGGAAGAAAGAAGTAGTTCATGGAAAGAAAGATATGTAGTGATTTTATTCTCATAGTTTAAGGGAAGACAGAGAGTAAATACACCGACGCCATTGTGATGGATTCTGAGCCATGTCACTAAGAGTCTCCAACCATTGGTTACGATAGTCACGCGGACCCCAACCAAGTAGTCTACATCTACCAACATGGCTCAGACTAGAAGTTAGTGTCTTCAAGCACTGATGCCACGTTTTGGTTTGGCTGCCCCTAACTTTCTTCCAACCATCCCGAACACCGGTTAGGATTGTAGGCAATAAATAATTCATTAGGCTTTTGAAATATTTATCATATTGTTGAGTAATTAAAATACATTGAAATTACAATCTTCAGTATCTTGGCAACTTGGTTATTTAACCAAATAACCAGTCTACTTTAATTAATTAACTAGTTACCATAGTGAATAGACCATATTTATTTATACTCTTTACTTATTACCAGTTCTTACTTGCATTATTAACTGGTCTCTCTCTCCTCCCTCTCTCTCTCGGTCTCTCTCTCTCTCTGTGTTTCATAAAGTTATGTATTGCAAGATCATCAATAAAATCACATTCTTGAAAAGTCTCTATTGGCATGAAGTTTCAAATGTAGAACTATATAGTAATCCATCTATGTATGATTCTATAGAAGATACCTATTTCTAAGTTAAAAGTTACTCAGAGTTGATCATGAAAAGAATCTGTTATATTCTTATGACCTATTGAAATAGCATGTGATAAGATTGTTAATTATAACACAATGATTGATTGAATGAACAGACCAAATATTATATAATAAACCAGTACGAACAGACTAGATTCAATTCTGAGCTCTTATTGATCTTTAAAGATGAGTAACTTCTTGTTTAATCAAGTCAATTGAGTCCAGAACACTTAGTTGAGCCTTTGCTATAAGAATCATACATTTCAAATATGTGAAGTTTATATTTAAGCAAAATAGTAAATGACAATTATACAAGATCAAATCAAAAGTGGCTGTGATTGTGAGAGACTGTTACTAATGAATTAAGAATAAGTTAAGAATGGTAAATCGTATCATAATAGTCAATCAATCAAATGGAAGCTTATGATAAGAGAACTATGAATAAACATGTAATATAGTTACGTAATAGTTATAGCCCCTAAATGCTATGGTACAGGCGAGAGTAGGAAGAGTCCGCTCTCCCTATCCAAATGCTCTCATATGATCACGCGTATACAACCACTGTCAGATAAGTCCCACTCACTACCTTCCTGCACCATGGGTGTTGCTTACGAAATTGAGAGGACGAAAACCGAATGTCCGACTCTTTAACCGAATTGGTGGATACGGAGAGTCCACATGCGGAAGTTGAAAAACTCATTCCAAATCAATGGTGCACATGGAGTACAGGATCATGAGGGAACAAATGGAGTATGAACCAATTGTTGGTTACCAACTACCATGGGACTGTATCTCCTGACGTTGCTCCACTGCTTTGTGGATCACACCATTAGATCGAAGGCTCTGAGTGTAGCCCCTTGGGAAAGTGGTGTGCTTCGATTTGGGGACTTGGGCAGTACCATAGCCCACACACAAATCGAATGATATGTGTGGTGCATATGTATTCGGTGCCCTCTTGTACCAATATTAATGTGTCCAAATAAATAAATAAATTATAAATAGTTATATAATAAGTATATATAAAATAAAAGTCCACAAATAGATCCTAACGGTTACTATTTACTTCTTCATCACCTGGATATAACAGAACCATTTTGACCAATCATTGCATATGAATAAATGATACTGGAAGACAACACATTCTAATGTTAGTTACTGTGTAGAACATGATTTGCGAAAAAATTTACCGCCTTTTTGCTTTCCGATAGTTTAAATCATAAGTCAGTTGAAGCTAAACCACCGTGGAAAACCTGCAGGCACTAAATGGCCGTTTCGTCTTATTGTAGGACTCCTCATCACTGTGCACCCACTGTCCCGCCTCTCGAGATTCGAACACATTATCTATTAGTCTCGCGAGCGAACGCCTAAACTCTAGACCACTGAGCTGGCCAGTAGTCAACTGTATTAATGTCTAACCTCAACCAATTTACGAAACTGAGTGATACATCCTCCATTGTCATCAGTGAGTTACTATCTCACAACAGACCTGCTTCTCACTAGAACCCCAGGATATACCTCTTGAAGCCAGTCATCTATTATCGTCATGAACTTATTACACTATTCTCAACTTAACGTCATAAAACTTCATTGTGTTGAATTTTCGAAATCTATGTTTATAAACATCATGGAAGCCAATTAGAAATAATACGCAATAAATCATTTATGGCTCGTTGAAAGACCTAGATTTTAGGGAATCCAGGATGTTAATTTCGCCCCATTTGGGGCGCCCATTTCTAACCACCATCTAGCCCTATCTATAATGCTTGTGACTATGTAGTAAAATCGACGCAATCCGTATAGGATACACACATGCCAACAAGAGGCTGATCAACTGGAATCCTAAACAATATTAGGAAGTGGGTAGTTATTTAGACTCGGTTGTTAAGAGGATAGCACGATGTCGTTTGAAATAAACGGCAACGAACTTAAGTTCTGGAGTGAACATTGATTGTTTATCCAATTGGATTTTATTTACTTGAAGAGGTGCAGTTGACTCTAATTCTAGTTCTCCGATATTCCACTAATTACTCATTTACTTTAGCTACTATTCATGACGAAGGATTAGCTACTTATAAGTAGCTAAAATGTGTTTACGTAATTTTTTACAATGAAGACCTGAAAATAAACTTCATTTCAAAATACTTTAATAGTTTGATCATTAATATCAGAAGGTTTTTTGTGGATATTATAGCAATTTCAATAGTTCAGATCATGATTTAATTGAAGTTAGACCACCATGGAAAACCTGGAAGTACTGGACGACCGTTTCGTCCAACTGCGGAGCACTTCAGCAGTGCATATCCATGATCCTGCATCTCAAGATTCCAATCCAGGATCTATTGGTGCCGCGCTCAAGCGCTTAAAATCTAGACCATTGAGCCAACATCCAGAGTTTTTAGTATCTAACTTCAACTAATCCACGAATTTAGCAACATATACACCATTGTCATCAATGACTTACTATCTCACAAAATACCCGGTTGGACTGCACTGGTCACTGCTTTTCAATAGAACTCCAGGAAACACCTCTTGATGACATCATTATTAGCCTTTTCTCAGGAAAAAAACCTCAGGATAATTGTCAGTAATCAACTTGATTTCGTAGCCCTGAATTAAGCCTTAAGATTGTGAAGCAGATTTGTATCTCATGTTGGTGCTTTTAGAAGTGATAGGTATACTGAGCTCAATAGTTTAATAGTCACGCCTTTACTATTTTTACAGAAGCCATTTTTAACTGTTAAAAAACTCTAGATAGAAGTAAGCTATTCCGATTTTCAAACAAGTGACTAGCATTTTATTTTGTATACCTTGGTTTTCATTGTTTGTTGGTGCCCCTTGTAGTGACATTATCTGCCTATTCATTTCCAGTTTAACTGTTTTGGGTATGTTGAAGGCAACTCCCGAAGATATAAGATGGTCGCACATTATCATGAATTGATTGGAGATAGGTTTGTACACGACTGAACCTTGGCTTAGGAGTCCACATGTTAAGCGTTCGAACACAAGACTAAGTGACCTGGGTTCGATTCTTGATGGCGGAGTGGTGGTTGGGCTCTGCTAAGGAGTTCCATACTATCACAGAACATCTAGACAGTGCCCTTAGGTTTCCAATATTTGTCTCGTTCTCTAAGCCATCCGGTTTAATCTTGAAGATTTCAATGTCCTCCTGAACAACATTTCTACCACAAACTTCAAGTAGACGTGCGGTATTCAAATCTCATAAAATATGACTGACATCATGTCTTGACGACCTTAATCTTGACCTACTGTCATCGAACACTAACCTGGTGTTGTCTGTAATTTTTCAGAAGAACAATGAAGATCTAACAACTGAACCCTACATCTTAGAGTACGAAGCTCCGCTAAAAGCTTACTCATTTCCAAGCTACCGAACTAGTTATACATATTAGTTTGTTTTTAATTAATACATTTCAATATTCTATTTCTATTTTAAGGCACAGATGAAACAGCAATTATCAACATATTGGCACGTAGAACAAATTATGAACGTCAAGAATTATGTCGATCATACAAAAGTTTATATAAACATGTAAGTAATAAGTAAGTAAGTAGCGAAATAAACATAAAATCAAGATGATAACTGATACTGCACTCATATAATACTTATCAAAACTGGATCAATGTTTTATGCTGTTGAAGTAAGCTGGAATTATGTTAGGAGCGGCCAGATCAAAACATGGAACAAATCCATGAAGTCACTGATAAGTGGACTGAGCCATGTTGGTAAGTGTAGACTAATCACCTGGTTGGGATCCGCGAAACGATAGCAATCGATGGTTAGAGACCTTGAATGTGGCATGGCTCAAAATCGTTTGCAATGGCGCAAGTTCATCCACTCTTTGTGTTCACCCAAATTCTAATCTTCTCAATTCTTCATGTCCTCTATTTTTTTTCTTTTTTCAAATTTATTACACTGGATAATACTCCTTGAATAACATCTCCAAACCCTAATGTTTGCGATTATTGCTTATATTTTTACTACCTCCACTACAAGTGCATTTGAATTGACAATTGTGTCTGTGTGCTAATGTGGTATGGCAACTGGAACTGATGTACGTACGTACGAAGTTTTACGCTGTTAACTGACTGACTGACTGACTATCAAAACTGGCTACAACAACTAAAGATAGAAGGCATGTTTGTGCACGTGGGCTTACTAAAACTACTAAATTCAAATTATAGAAGACTTAATATTAACTTGACCGAATAAACCATATAAAAGGAAATGTATTCAGATATCAGGTTGATTTAGTTCTAGGATCAAGCAAATTCTGAGTATCAGTATTTGTGCTCTCATTTTGATGTGTGCTACCAATGTCAAAGAGAACATGAATGAGGACAGAAAGTGATTGGTGTGGAAACGAAAGAACATTCAAATCTGAGACAACCGATGAATATTTACTGTATGGTTCAAAAATTTGATTGTTATCTACGATTGTATTTTCGTTTCTTCGGAACTTTATTGTATTTGTTATATGAATGATTACAGACGTACATTAGTCTGGGAAAACGTTTAACTCATTGAGAAGCAACTTAAAGAAGAATAGATCATTTCTCGAAGCTTAGCATTTATTTCATTCGATGATCAATATTCTTCGTTGAAATTAACCATACTTAGCAGACTGTTATGTCTTGAAACCGCTGTCCAATATCACGTGTTATTTCCTCGATAGCTTAGTGCTCTTGACTTAACTGATTACACCTCAAACAGTCCTAGTGACCATAAGCTGATATCTAAGTTCTTATTAGTTCACTAATCGTTAGATTTTTCCTGTATCCAGCCTTGAGTCCAGAATCAGTAATCAGTCCCAACGAATATTAGATATCAAGCAAAGGTAGTATATATGCAGATATATCAGGAAATATCACACCAGAAAATGAAAAATCGAAGTGGAAATGCAGTGAATAAGAACACAGATGAGAATAACCGACTACAGAGTTACATGATCAAATAGAAAAACCATACTGCAATGCTACATTTACAACATGTTCATTAATTGTCTTAATTTCAATGTGCTTGTTGATTGACGATTGACCTGAGTACCAAACTTCTGAAAATTCTTCGATGTTTTTAGAATTATCAATTTAGGGGTTTTGGAGATTGTTAGGTTTTTGATTGAGATCATGAATCGATTGATGTTAGACCACCATAGAAAACCTGGAAGCACTGGATAGCCGTTTCGTCCGATTGTAGGACTCCTCAGCAGTACGCATCCACGATTCCCCTCGCGGGATTCCAACCCAGGGCCTTCAGTCTCGCGCACGAACGTTTAACCTACTGAACCACTGAGCCGGCATACAATGGTGTTAATGTCTCAAATCAACCAATCAACGAGATTGCGCGACCATCTTCCATTTTTGGAATTGCCTATAATCAAAATTTCCAGATTTTCTTAGTTGAATATGTGTCCACACCAAATGTCTACTTGCAATTTTGCACATGTGGAGAAATTCGAACACTTCACTCCTATCTGAAGTTTGTGCTGATGATATCGTTCAGAAAAACGATGAAAGCTCTATGGCTAAATCATCCAGCTCAGAGAACAAAACACCATCTCATAGTTGACCTGTCTGAAATTTACACTGAGGATGTTGTTTAGTTGTACAAATAACTATTAACATATTGTAATCAATGAGAACACAAGTGGGGATAACGAAGATGTAAAACAGTTAGTCCCTTTGATAAATTTTGATAGTTTAATAAGAAGATCATTACAAACTATGTGATGATATATTATCGCAATATATTTCGAACAATTTGATTACAATGACCAGCGAAGTTCTACCAGGTCTGTTGTGAGACAGTAACTCACTGATGACAATGGTGAATATATCACTCGATTTCGTGGATTAGTTGAAGTTAGATATTGACATTATTGAATGCCGTCCAGCTCAGTGGTCTGCAGTTTAGGCGTTCGCTCGCGAGACTAATAGATCCTGGGTTGGAATCTCTCGATGCGGAATCGTGGATGTACACTGTTATGGAGTCCCATAATGGGACAAAAACGCCGTCCACTACTTCCAGATTGTCCATGGTGATCTAGCTTCAATTGGCTCATGAATTCAACTATTATAATATTCACAAAACCCCTTTCTGATTATTTTATATTCTACTTTTTTTTAAAAGGATCTAAAAGACGATTTGAAATCGGAGACTAGTGGAGACTTTCGTAAAGTTTTATGTCAGCTAGTTGTTGATACACCTTATATGTTGGCTAAATCATTATATTATGCAATGAAAGGCTTAGGAACAAATGATCGTGTACTTATTGAAATATTTACCACATTATGGAATGATGAAACAAGAGCTGTAGCTGATGCTTATAAACAAGGTAAGTTATGTTTAAAAAAACGTTTTAAGAGATACATTGTTTGAATACTATTTCCTATATACCTAATTGGGGGGGGGTTTGTAGGGAGTAGTTTGATTCATCTGGATAAATTGAATTAAGTTCTACAAATTTAAGTGCTTTTGTGTACCTATTTGTGTGTGTGTGTGTATGATTAATACTTCATGGTTGCCATGTGGTGTGTGTTACTGATATCGACAGATAGAAGTAGTATGTATGATCATCAAATGAAAGTGAAATGCCTGGCGGTAGAAGTTTAAGAAGATCGAAACGAATGAGAACGTGAACAAAGAATGATTGGTATGGAAACGAAAGAACAATCAAGTCTGAGACGATTGATTGACACTTTACAAATGAAGTATTTACTGTATGGTTATCAAATTTTACTAAGATATTTTGTAATGGTGTATTCAAATACATTCAATTGTTGCCAATAGTGATCTTCACTACAGCCCAAACATCTAAAGAAATTTCTCCTTGAAGGATCTAAATAAAAAGTTCAATTATTAAGCTACTATCTTGTTGATCTGCAAGTGTGACAGCAAGCCTGACTATCATATTAGGCCAATCATTTCTGTCCAGTTTAAAAACGATGAGGTGGAAAATTAGTCACTTACTGGTTACTTGGAGACACATGAATTCTTAATAGTTTTGTAAGAAATTATAAATAAGTAAAGATAGATAATCGCTAGCAGTACGATCCAGAACGCACGTTTCCTTCTATTCGGGACTCCTCATCTAGATGTACCAGCATCGCAAAGTTGGCGTTTATTCCGGGCTTCGAACCCCGTTCGCTTCGAACTTCATCGCCTTATCCACTTAGCTTATCAACCTGAAGGGGACGGTACTGCGTTCGAGTGCCAGAGTGAACATCAACTATGGAATGCAGGTACATCCAGATGACAAGTCCCAAATAAAACGAAATGCGTATCCTGAATTCCACTACTAGCCACAATCCATCCCTGCTTACAATATTTGTGAATAAATACAATATTGAGGCAATCTGTACAGTATGCACATATTCCAATAAGAAACTGATAAATAGCCGTACTAAGCATCAATGGAAAGATTCAGACAAACAACACAAAATGAAAGTGGAATTGTAAATGTTAAAGTTCGTCATTACAATCATCCAATCCCCGTGCAGCGGTTTTTACCATTCGTCCAATAGGGAAACTACACGTCAAGATTCTGGAGTATTCTTCCCAAAGATGATTGCATGGATTATCTTCGATTCTTTCAGTGCTTCTTAGAACTTCCCTGAGTTTACACAGGGGTCATCCTTATAATTACATAATTTTCATTTATTTTATTCTAATTATATCTGCGCGGCAGTCCGTTCTGTTTTAATTTACGGCAGCGAAACATCGCCTTTAAGAGTACAAGATACACGTAAGCTACTAGTATTTGACCACAGATGCCTTAGAAATATTGCTGGCATCTGCTGGGATCACCGGGTAAGTAATAGTGAGGTTAGACGTAGGGTATTAGGGAATGATGGTAAATCAGTTGATGAAGTTGTGAATCTTCATTGATTGAGATGGTTGGGCCACGTGTCTTGTATGCCTGAACACCGATTACCACGACGTGCAATGCAAACCGGTGTTGGAGATGGTTGGAAGAAAGTTAGGGGCGGCCAAATCAAAACGTGGTATCAGTGCTTGAAGTCATTAACTTCTAGTCTGAGCCATGTTGGTAGATGCAGACTACTTAGTTGGGGTCCGCGTGACATTCGTAACTAATGTTTGGAGACTCTTGGTGACATGGCTCAGAATCGATCGCAATGGCGTAGGTGTATACACTCTCTATCTTCCCTTAAACTATGAGATTAAAATCACTTCATATCTTTCTTTCTACTAACTAATTCTTTCTTTCTGTACTATATCCTTATATGCAGTCTTTCTCCTATATATTACCACCTTTGACCTAACCACTCCTATGAATCCGGTGTTCATCTTGCTGTGCTAATGAGGTATGGCAACCTGCACCGATGCACATATGTGCCTGGTCCTACGTTGTAGCTGACTGACTGAATTATATCTCCTATGTTTAGTGTTTCAATTCGTTGGATAGTAATTTTCTCATGTTTACTGTCTAACTTGTCAATTTTCTCTTAATTTTCTTGATTGAGATCATGAAGTAAAGCCGTGATCAGTGGAACTAATCCGTGTCCGGTAGAGACAGGTATCTACCTCAGTACAATCGAAGATGGTCGCGCAATCTCGTGAATTGGTTGATGTTTGACACTAACACCATTGGATGCCGACTCAGTGCTTCAGTAGGTTAAGCGTTCACGCGTGAAACTAAAATCCCTGGGTTGGAATCCCGCGAGCGGGATCGTGGATACGTACTGTTGAGGAGTCCCATAATAGAACGAAACGGCCGTCCGGTGCTTCCAGATTTTCCATGGTGGTCTAACATCAGTCGATTCATGATCTCAATCAAAAACTTAATAATCTCCATAACAATATACTGATAATTTTCTCTTACACTGTTCTGAATTGGAATATGGTAACTTCATTTGAAACTTATTCAAATCAAACTTGAATCAGCTTCCAATTCATATTTCTAATCTCAATCAGCTGATGAAAGATTGTACACTTGTGTTGAAATTGACGTTTATCAATTCACTCTTATCTAGATATCTAAGTTCTGTTAGTTTAAATGTTAGTTCTTCATGATATACGTCTAGTTCTAAATAAACTCTTGTTTATCTTTTTCATTCTTAGTACTCAAAGACAAAGGAATTGAAGGTAAGTTATGTTTGTTACATTTATCATCTATTGATATGTTAACTGTAATAGTTTCACTATGGAATTTACAATTGAATTGATAATATCATGAGTCAATTGAAGTTGCAACGGCATCCAACGGTGTTAATGTCTAACTTCAACCAATCCACGAAGTTGCGCCAACGTACACTATTGTCTTCAGTGAGTTGATATCTCACAACAGACCTGGTTGAACTCCACTGGTAACGGCTTCTCACTAGAACTCCAGGATATACCTCTTTGAAGCCAGTCACTAGTGAGCATATGTTGATTAGTATCAGAAGGGGTTTTGCGGTGATTGTAGTAATGTCATTAGTTGAGATTACGAGTCAATTGAAGCTAGATCACCATGGAAAACCTGGAAGCATTGGACGGCCGTTTCGTCTTATTGTGGGACTTCCCAGTAATGCTAATCCACGACCCCGAATTGATACTATTGTCTTTTGTAAAACTAGTAGTTGTTACCTTACTATTTGAAATAGTACATGATCATATATTAGGTTGTTCATTCTTTGGTTGACACGTTTAAGTACAACTTGTAATAGTAATGTTTACATTGATCAGCCATTAAAGCAGTAGCAACCAATGTCATATCTGTCTAGTCTTTAGCGTTGACTCTATTCTATCGAACATGTTGTACTGTGACTACTAGTCGAAATGACTTTCACCATGTCTAGATATTCGATAGTTAAATATAGCCCGCAGGAAGCTATACTGGACATAGGTTGGCATTATTCAGCGTAATGTACTTGAACTTTCACATCCCATTGCTAGACTGGTACAAGTAGAGAATAAAAATGTTTTCTTTTTCTGTTTCCCGCGATGTATTTTTAATATTCAGTGGTACAACCGGTGATCAAGATGATATTATGACTAGACTAGACTAGACTAGACGACCAATGTAGCAGCAAACTCAGCAGCAGTAGGTATCAACATACACAAAGGGAAAAGTAAGATTCTCCGATACAACACAACATACAACAATCCAATCACAATCGACGGAGAAGATTTGGAAGATGTAAAGTCCTTTACATATTTGAACAGCATCATTGATGAACACGGGGAGATTTGATGTAGATGTGAAAGCGCGGATCAGCAAAGCAAGAGAAGCATATTTACAACTGAAGAACATCTGAAACTCAAAACAACTGTCTGTCAACCAACATCAAAGTCAGAATTTTCAATACAAATGTCAAGACAGTTGTACTGAATGGGGCGGAAACTTGGACAACTACGAAAGCCATGACGCAGAGGATACAAGTGTTTATTAACAGTTGTCTACGCAAAATACTTCGGATCCGTTGGCCAGACACTATCAGTAACAATCCACTGTGGGATAGAGCAAACGAGATCCCAGCGGAGGAAGCAATCAGGAAGAATCGCTGGAAGTGGACAGGATATATATTAAAGAAGGCACCCAACTGGCTCACAATGGAGGCCCTCACTTGGAATCCTGAAGGCCAAAGGAGAATCGGAAGACCAAAGAACACATTACGTTGAGAATTGAAAACGGACATGAGAAAAATGAGCAAAATTGGATAGAACTGGAAAGGAAGGCCCAGGACAGAGTGGGTTAGAGAATGTTGGTCGGCAGTCTACGCTCCATTGTGAATAACAGGCGTAAGTAAGTAAGACTGGATACTTGATTGATAGGCTATGCACAGACCAGGCTCGTATTATACCAGACACATAATTTACAACCAAATATAGAGAACCAGAATATTGGCAATATAATAACTTACTTAACATAAATGTAAGTAGTCTATACTCAATAAGTCCAGAATACAAATCAATAATGAGTAGTAAGCTGTTCCCGTCAATTCACACTAAGTAATCAATCATGTGTTACTCTTTTAAGTCACATATCATAGACATTCATATCCTTTTTGTATCTATTACATTATGTTAGCAATACATGGTCAGCATAACATGCATGTTCATTACTTCCCAACTTACGTACCAACAACTGAGTCTTTCACATGTCATCTTGTTTACAGAATTCTATTCTAAATGTATCTTCCAAACGTTTGAGCCACATGAGAAAAGTATTTCCACTTTTAGGGTAATAGATGAATTCTAAGATGCTGCTAGCAAATACATCACAAGACGTACTTGAATTAGCATATGTACACAAGCAGTGAATGTTAAGCTGTTGAGTTAAAAGTGTCCGACAACCGCAACAAGTTTTGCTTGCAGTTGTTTTAGTATTTGGTTGGGCTGGTCATCTGATATGAATATCTTGAATTCGGTTTCCTTTTGCCTTGTCACCACTGTCATAATTCTCTCTTATTACAAACCAAGCTATTCTTACTGCTTAATATTCTTGGACTCCAATTCACTCGACAAGTCCCCAAATCAGAACATGGTTAAACAGGAATAACAAGGGGTAGATGGAAGTAAGAAGCACTATAGGAGAAACGTTAGTATATTGATAGTTTTTTTATATGAGAAGATTCTAAAGTGTTCTTCAAGGATCGACTAACATTGATTGGATAAGAATTAGCCAATCAGCGTGCATCAACACCATTGTACATTGAGCATACTTTATTTCCAATCTATATCCGGTTCATACATAAACAAAAGATTATCCTCTAGTTTTTGTTTTCTATTTTACACTTGAATATCTTTCAATAAACAAACAAAAGAATCAGAACGTTCATTAGTTACTGATATGAAAAAAGAAATAGGTGGTGATTATGAATATGCATTAATGTGTTTAGTTCAAGCTGAACGTGATGAGATACCAGTATTACAATTGAAAGCAATACCTGAAAAAGGTATCAATTCAATCATTAATCATGAATTAGCTGAAGCTGATGCTAAAGATCTATATGCTTCAGGAGTTGGGTAAGTTATTATTATATTTATATGATGATTTGAGACGATTTTAAATACAAACATACTTATAGATAATGTGAGGATAACCCACGGATGAAAATGAGGAAGTTCTAAGAAGTTCAGAAAGAGCTGAAGATGCTCCATCCAATCATTTTTTGGAAGAATATTTCAGAATCTCTAAGTGTAGCTTCCCTATTGGACAAATGCTTATAATATTAGAAGGGGTTTTGTGGATATTATAGTAATTTTGATAGTTGAGATCATGAGTAAATTGAAGCTAGACCATTATGAAAAGCCGTTACGTCCTATTGTCGGACTCCTCAGCAATGCGCATACACGATCCTGCCTCGCAGGATCTATCAGTCTCGCGCGCGAACGCCTAAACTCTAGACCACTGAGTCGGCATTGGATAGTGTTAATATCTAACATCAACTAATCCACGAAATTGAGCCACACATCCACATCCTGGAATTCTAGTGCGAAGCAGTGACTATTGGAGTTCAACCAGGTCTGTTGCGAGATAGTAAATCACTGATGATAATGGTGAATGTGTCACTGGATTTCGTGGATTAGTTGAAGTTAGATATCAACACCATTGGATGCCGGCCAGCTCAGTGGTCTACAGTTTAGGCGTTGGCGCGGGAGACTGATAGATCCTGGGTTTAGATCTTGCACAATAGGATAAAACGGCCGTCTAGTGCTTCCAGGTTTTCCATAGTGGTCTAGCTTCAATTGACTCCTGATTTCAACTATTAAAATTACAATAATATCCACCAAACCTCTTATGATACTAAAGCAGATTACTAAGGCGGAATCTATAGTTTTCAGAATTCCTACGTAAATATATCATTACTAACAGAAATATTTTATTCGTCAATAATAAGATTTCAAGTATAGGGGTTGTGGAGATTATTAAGTTCTAGTGAGAAGCCGTGATCAGTGGAGCTAATCCATGTCGGGTAGAGACAGGTATCTACCTCAGTACAATGGAAGTTGGTCGCGCAATTTCGTGGATTGGTTGATGTTAGACACTATCACCACTGGATGCTGGCTCAGTGGTCCAGTTGGTTGAGCGTTCGTGCGCGAGACCGAAGGCCCTGGGTTCGAACCCCGCAAGCGGGATCGTGGATGCGCACTCCTGAGGAGTCCCACAATAGGACGAAACGGCCGTCCAGTGCTCCCAGGTTCCCAAAGGTGGTAGTCTAACATCAATCGGTTCATGACCTAAATCAATTAGATTTCCATAAAGTCGTAACTCGGTGTTATTATGGCGTGTACTCCTGATGTCAACAGATATAAGTAGTATGTATATCATCAATCGAACGTGAAATGCCTGGTGACAGAAGGTTAAGCATATCGAAGAAAAGGGGACAAGAATAGAGAATGATTATTGGGGAAACGAAGGGACAATTAAGTTTGAGACAATTGATAGGTATTTTGCAAATAAAGTATTTACTGTATGATTCCCAGATTTTATAAAAACATTCTCTAATGTATAGAAGTACATTTGGTTGTCCCCACTTGTGTTCTCGTTCATTCAGTATTAATTCACCAATAACTTATATTACTTACTTATATACTTATGCTTGTTACCCCTAGTGGGGAAGCATAGTTTGCCCATCAACATTCTCTAAACAACTCTGTGCTAAACAATCTTTTTCAATTGTTATTTATCCTTTTAATTCTTTAATCTTCTTCTTGTACTTTTCCCTTCAGAATTCCAAGTTATGACTTGCCTGGTGACTCTGGGGATGATAACAAAGGTCATCACTACCATAATGTTAGCTTGTTACTGTAAATCATTCCAGTGACGTCTTAACTAGTGAATAGTTTCAAGAAGTGATTCTGAAAGTTTTGGTGAGAAGCTATAACCAGCGGTATTTATTAGATCGATCAAGTATAACGCAGTTACACACTAATGGTGTAGTGAACGAGTACAAAATTGGGGATAATCAAATATACTTGAATACACAATTGTAGAATGTCTTAGTACAATTTGAGAACTATACAGTACAATATTTCATTCGTAAAATGTTAATCAATCGTCTTAGAATTCATTGTTCCTTTGTTTCCATAGAAATCATTCACGGTTCTTGTTCTCTTCTTTTTGATCTTCATAAACTTCTACCTCCATGGATTTCATTTTCGATTGATCAGACATACTACTTATATCTATCGACATCAGTAGAACACATCACAAAGGCGCTGGAAGATGATTACGTAATATCGTGTATTTATAGAAATTATTAGACTATTACCAGACAACTCAATGTTAGAAGAGTTTAACACTAACTACGAGACCTGAAGATCTTTAATTTGACCACCGTTAGCGTCGTAGATGAGTACCGCCGACAAATTCCATATTCGAATCCAATAGCTGTTGATTAGTGTTGTAAACTGTAATTGTTTTTTAATGATGGGCGTCACCATAACGTTAAGTTTAAATAAAGAAAAATATGTTTTTTATTGAGATCATGAACCGATTGATGTTAGACCACCATGAAAAACCTGGTAGCACTGGACGGCCGTTTCGTCCTATTGTGGGACTCCTCGACAGTGCGCATCCACGACCCCATTCGCGGGATTCCAACCCAGGGCCTTCAGTCTCGCGCGCGATTGCTTAACCTGCTGGACCACTGAACTGGCTGGCATCCAATGATGTTAATATCGAAACCCGCGAACGGGATCGTGGATGCGCACTGTCGAGGAGTCCCACAATAGGACGAAATGGCCGTCCAGTGCTTCCAGGTTTTCCATGTTGGTCTAACATCAATCGACTCATGATCTCAATCAAAAAAATTTAACAATCTCCACAACCCCTAAACTGATAAAAATGTATTTCTTTATTTTTTCTATAAAGTCGAGTTGGTACTAGTGAAAAACGTATTACACGGGTTATATGCAATAGAACACCATATCAATTATATTTAACATCTGAAATCTATTTCAAAGTAAGTTTTATTATATTTATGAATTACCGATTTATTTAGTACAGGTAAGTTATTCTAAGTATAACTAATTAGATCATTCAATGAATTTGATTCATCACTGTGGGGTTGTGAAGATGATTAAGTTTTTGATCAAGATCATAAAGTGATTGAGGTTAGACCATAATTGAAAACCTGAAACCATTGGACGGCAGTTTCGACCTATTGTGAGGCTCCTCAGCAGTGCGCGGGATACGGACTCAGAGCCTTTGGTCTCACGCGCAAACGCTTAATTTTTAGACCACTGAGCCGGCATCCAATAGTGTTAAGCGTTCGCTTGTGAGACCGAAGGCTCTGGGTCCTAAACCTGCTAGCGGGATTGTGGATGCGCACTGCTAAGGAGTTTCACAATAGGATGAAACAGTTTTCCAGTGTTTTCAGGTTTTCAATGGTGGTCTAACATCAATACATTAATCTACAAATGACCGGTTAACCCAATTTTATAAAAGACAGTTGACATCTTGAGAATATTTGCTTGATTAGAATTACCTACGAATAGTTGAATTTATTGGCAATCTCACACTCTCTATTAAGAATATGACATCTGAGTATTTTTGATTGTAGGATAATTAGATCTTCATAAATCTGAATTACTGACGTGTATCTTCTTCGAAATACTCTCATATGGCCACAAGTATACAGACACTATCAGGGAAGTCCTACTCACTGTCTTCTCGCCACTGAAGTGTTGTTTATGAAATTGAGATGACAAAAATTTGAATGTCCAGCAGGTGCTCGAACCGGGTTGGTGGACACGGAGAGTCCATCGAGGGGAGTTGGAAAATCCTGATTCCAAACCAATGGTGTATATGAGCTCCAAGATCCTGAAGGAACAAATGGTGTATGGACCAATTATTGGTTACCAGTTACCATGGGACTGCATCTTCCTACGTTGCTCCACTGCCTTGTGGATCAAACCTTTAGGTCGAAAACTCTGAATGTTGCCCCCTACGAAAACCACCTTCTTCGGTCTGGGCACCCGAGTAGTATCACAACCCATACACAAATCAAGTGATTCGTGTGACGCATATGTGTTCGGTGCTTCTTTGTACCCAAGTTTATTTTTTTAAATAAATAAATAAATGAGAATTATAGATTAGTGTGAGGAACTATAATTAGGATTCACAGTTGAACGCTAACGTTAGGAATTAAATTTAATGTTATCCTCACAAACTGACATCAACTAAAATATCAAAACCCTATTTATCCAAATAAGTGAATGAGTTTCCCGCTAAAATCCAAGACCTGCTATATTAAATCTGATTGGTTTGTGCACCAGTTATACTCTTGCTGAAATGATACATCTAACGAAACCATCATTTTTAATATGAAGTGAATTTTTCGTTACATAATGATATCAGAAGGGGATTCGTGAAGATTTTAGAAAATTCACTGATTGAAATCATGAGTCAATTGAAGCTAGACCACCATGGAAAACCTGAAAGTGCTGGACGGCCATTTCATCCCAGTATGGGACTCTTCAGCAGTGCGCATCCACGATCCCGCACGCCGAACCCGGGACCTATCCGTCTCAGTGGTATAGTTGGCTAAGTGCCTGGCGCGAGACTGATAGGTCCAGGGTTCGAATCCCGCGGGGTGCGGGATCGTGGATGCTCACTGCTGAGGAGTCCCATACTAGGAAGAAACGGCCGTCCAGTGCTTCCGGGTTTTCCATGGTGGTGTAGCTTCAATTGACTCATGATTTCAACCAGTGATAATGATATCATCTAGAAAACATTTGAATAGTTGTATTGTTCTAATATGGAGTTTCACAGAGATGTTCAATCAAATCTTCTACCTTAAATGACAATCACTAGTGAGTATAAGATTAATGTTTCGTTGAAAAACTTCTGATGTTTAGTTTAAATTGAAGTTTATTTCCTTCTATTATTTTAGATGTATGGTAAAACTTTATTGGAACATATTGAATCGGAGACATCAGGTGATTATCGTAAACTTCTTGTTGCTATCTGTAAGTTCAAAAGATAGATTTATTACTATTGATGTTTGAATAAAAATTTGTAATTTTCGTTATGTAGTCATGGAAATTGTTAAAAATTTATTGAGATCATTACTTACTTACTTACTAAAGCCTGTTACTGCTAATGGAGCATAGGCCGCCGACCAGCATTCTCCAAACCACTCTGTCCTGGGCCTTCTTTTCTAGTTCCATCCAATTTTTGTTCATTCTTCTCATGTCTGTCTCCATTTCCCGGCGCAATGTGTTGTTTGGTCTTCCTCTTTTTCTTTGGCCTTGAGGATTCTATGTGAGGGCTTGTCTTGTGACGCAGTTGGGTGCTTTCCTCAATATGTGTCCTGTCCAAATATGTAGAGGACTTTACATCTCCCAAACCTTCTCCGTCAATTGTGATTGGATCGGTGCATGTTGTGTTGTATCGAAGAATCTTGCTTTCCGCGTTGTGTATATTGAGACCTACTACTCCGCCTGGAGTACCTCAGAGGGATACTGCCGGTCCCAAGCCCGGATAAAGGAGGAGGGTTGGACATGGGTTTAGCGACCCCATCCCGTAGAAAACTAACTCACTAAAAAAACGCTAACCAAAAAATTGAGGTCATTAATTGATCTTAATTGGATAACCATTGAAAATATGAAAGAACTGATCTATTGTTTTGTCCCAGTATGGAACTCATCAGAAATGCACTTTCATAACCATATCACCGGAGACTGAACGCCTGACCTTCAATATCGTCCGCAAACTCTTGATCTCTTAATTACTGAGCCAGAATACAATCATGTATAAGTTTAACTTTAACCAATTTACAATATTGTGAGATCATATTCTATTGTTTTCATTGGGTAACTCCTTGACACACGACACATTTAAACTCTATTGATCACACTTTATCACTAAACCAAAAGTCCTGGATACAAACTGTTGCGTTAGGGTAGTGTATCCGCACTACCGATAAGTTCTATGCTAGAAGTAAATAGTTATTTGTTATGTTCGGTGTCTAGTCCACGTGTCTCTTCCCACCTTTACCTCGTACATAACTTGGCCTAGTCTTCCAACCACACATGCTTTGATCCAAGGACCATGATTTGCTCTGTAGTCTCGAGTGAACATCGGGATTTCAGTTTCTCAGAAGTTTTCTAGCTTAGATCGTTACATGAACTTAATAAATATTCAGAACTTACAGTAGACAACGGTGAATTTTTTATCGACTGTTAAAAAGCGTTGGGATGATCCAGAAAACTCGTAAAAGCCAAGAAAGGCTCAGGAAATACTAAGAAGCATTTTATCCAATCAGTGTTCACTAGAAGTTTTACCAGAAACATCTAGAAGTTCGAAAGTGACATTTTGAGTTTCTGACTGGCTGATTACTACACTGCTACTATGTTTAGTAGCATTCTAGAATTTTCGGGAAAACCCAAGAACATCTAGAATACTATAAAAACCCTATATTTTCTGTACATAAATGAACGTTTGGAGTAAAGTGTTTCTTACTTACTTTGCGCCTTTTCTCTCGTGTTCAAGTCGCTGTATAGTTCTGGCTTGGGGTTACTAGAAGAGCTTAGGAACCAAATATAGCGTTCAATTAGCAAGACTTATCAGAAAGTCATTCCTTTAATTATCTTAAAACGAAGATTGGTACAGGATAGAAAATGGATTCATTTTATTCCTCCAGGTCCTCATCAGCTGCTAACAACCAATTTAATATTTTATAAATCAACGTTATTACAGATATTGACAAACATATACATAAGAGAAGGACAAAGATTTATTAGTCTCTTTTTTGGGTACATAGATCTGGTTTTAGACGTTTGATCGCTACCGCTTCGGCAAATTTCTAACATCAATCGACTCAATATCTCAATTAAAAACTTAATAATCTCTACAATCCCATACTGATAATTACTATGTGCTCACTATTGACTAGCTTCGTGAGGGAATTCTCTGAGTTCTAGTGAGAAGCCGTGACCAGTGGAACTAATCCGTGTCGGATAGAGACAGATATCTACCTCAGTACAGTTGAAGATGGTCGCGAAATTTCGTGGAGTGGTTGAAGTTAGACAATAACACCGTTGAACGCCGGCTCAGTGGTCCAGTAGGTTAAGCGTTCGCGCGTGAAACTGGAAGCCCTGGGTTGGAATCCCACGAACGGGGTCGTGTATGAACACTGCTGAGGAGTTCCACATCAGGACAAAATGGCCGTCCAGTGCTTCCAGGTCTTCCGTGGTGGTCTAACATCAATCGATTCATGATCTCAATTGAAAAATTTCAAAAGATTGGAGTTTGATTGTTTATTATTCACTTTGAAAGAATTCAGTGTATCGATTTCATGTCTTGTGTCAAGGAGATGTCTTGCGATGACAATGCTGAATGCTTTTAGTCAATTTGACTTTAAACGTTTCGGAATATGTTCTTTGAATAGGACATAGGGCTCTCCTTTCTGTTCTACCAATGTAACTGCTTTGTCAGATACATGTAAACTTATATACACTGTTAGTGGTAACATGAAAGCGATACCTATTGAGAAAATGGAACTTGTTTTCATTTCCATGTTTCATAGTAAACTAGATATTTGGATGGGCTTCGTTGAAAAGTTTGAAATGATTTGTTGAATGTTATTGATCTAGTGAGATATAAAGCATCCGTGGTGATAAGACCACTACTGATTGATATTTTATTTCTGTTTAATTGGTGAATAGATCAGATCATTAGTTAAGCTTTGCTTAGCTGAAATGTTTGTGTTTGGTTTATTCTATTTTGATATTGGTTATTTGGCACTTGTGTACGCTATGCGGATTGCCATATGAGGAGAGATGAATAGTGGCTAACAGTGGAATCCAGGATGCATCAACTCTGAGATGCACATACACCCAGCTGATGAGTCCTGAACGGTACGAAACCTGGGTCTTGGATCCCACTGCTAGCTACTACCATCCCCATTTAGAATGCTTAGTCTATGTTTACAATCCATTAAAAGTGTGAATACCATACGTTCAATTCTTCATTTGCAAAATGTCCATCAATTTTCTCCGATTTTGTTGTTCCTTCATTTCTATACCAATCACTTTCTGTTCCCGTTCTCCTCTCTTCGATCTTCTTAACCTTCTGCCATCAGGTCTATCACTTTTAGTTGATAATACATACTACTTATACCTATCGACATAAGTAGTACAGATCACAGTAGTAAAAAATGAGTGGTAATTGTCTTGATTCCATGTTCAATAACTAGAAGCATTCATGTTCTTCAAATATGTAAACTAATAAGCTATTTTGACTTTTAATTTGTAATTTCAATAAGAAAGTAAACTAATCATCTCTTTGATATCATACATACAGTTCTATCATTGTTCTTTGTTGATTCACTCTTCACACTTAGTACGATATGCAATCGATCGTCCCGGTCTAATTGCTGAATGGTTACATGATTCAATGGCTGGTTTAGGAACAAAAGATTATGCATTAATGCGTTTATTAATTACACGTTCTGAGGTAAGTTTAGACTATTTGTAAAATGTTGTTTTAATGAAACGAATAGCATAGAAGAAAGGAGAATAGCATGTGATTGACTAGATTATTTAAACTGCCATTAATATTAGCTTCATTTGCATGATGGAACGATCAGAAAAGCTGAATTCATGAATCAATTCAAGCTAGATCACCATGAGAAACCTGGTATGGGACTCCGCAGTAGTGCGCATCTACGATCCTGACCCACGAGATTTGAACCCAAGACCAAGTTTGTTATAAGATAGTAACTCATTGAAGACAATGGTGGACGGTGACACAATTTAGTGGATTGGTTGATGCCGGCTCAATGGTCTAGAGACCGATAGGTCCTGGTTTCGAGTCCTGAGTGCAGAATTTCATATGCGCACTACTGAGGAGTCCTACAATAGGACAAAACGATCGTCCGCTGCTTCCAGGTCTAGCTTCAATTGACTCATTATCTCACCCATTGAAATAACAATAGACTTAGTAAATCAGTAACGAATTATAACGTCAATGTAGTAAGATGATAATAAAATGTTTATGTTACATTAATTGAAAGTCGATAAGGGTCATAGAGGTGTAAATAAATAAATAATGTGATATCATGAGTACTTATGAATGAAATAATGACAATATGAGACATAAGTAAAAGGGGGGGACGCAGTAATAATAATAATAATAATAATTAAGGCCATGGTAACGATAACGATAGGACGTACCTTTTTTGTACGTATAGTTCTTGCTTGAGTTCATAAATAGTAAGAGCTTTGGTTATGTTCAGGAGTTGAATACGAAGATATCTAGATAAATTTGAACGAATCATATTTCCAACCTTAAAATCAAATTGTGGATCCGTAGAATGATTACAATTGATTAAGTGTTCAAGTATGGAACTCTTAACTGCTTTCCTCTCATCCTTATAAAATAACACTAGGATATGTTCCCGTATCTATGTTGAAACTGATCACTGGCTAAGGCTCCACAAAATCAGGTAAACTGGTAGATGTACATAAAGGCGACCAGACGATCCCTTCGCTGAAATCCATTTCTTTAACTTCTTTTTTTAACGTACATTCGATTAATTCCATATAAATAAATTATTCTTTTTCTTTGTTTACCTCTCTCTCTCCCGCACACACACACACACACTGGAATGATTTCCAATACATTACCAAGATTGATCTTCAAGACATAATGAATTCATATGAATCGATTTATGGCAAATCATTATTGAATGCAGTAATAGATGATACATCTGGTGATTATCGTCGAACATTATGTGTACTACTTGGTGAAACATATAATCAATAATAGTTTCATTAAAACAAAACAATATATTAAATCATTTGATTTTGACACTATTTATTCTATCATATTTAAACATATTATTACAAACTTGTGACCTTGTGTTGATTAATTTAAACACAGAAATATGGATACAAGTAGGCGCCAAGTATATATATGCGCTACATTTCGTTATTCAATTTGTGTGTATGATGATGGAGGGGTTGGAATACTGCCCAGATCCACTGCCAGAGTCATTTATCTAGAGATCTAATCCATATGACAGTGTAGTAACATTAAGGGATACAATCTCATGATAGCCAGTGACTAACAATAGGTTCATACGTGATTTGTTCCCTCAGGATCTTGGAGTCTATGTGCATCATTGTTTTAGAATGAGGGTTTTCTAACTATCCTAGGTGAATCCTCCGTATACTTGTGCTCTATTAATATCTATATGACGTAATGATACCGCCAGTTAGAGAACAGTGACTTATCAAACGGACCAATGACGCATAAACCTGTACGAGCAGTCTAGAGTCCTTATTGGTCCTTCTTTCTTCCTAACCCTGCCTATTGAGTTCAGAACACCAATCCCAGCCTATGCAATATAAATGAAGTATCCCAAACATACAAGCCAAACAGACTACATCGTACCACACAATAGGGAACAATATTTGTACAAGATCTAGCCAAAAGTGGCTGTGAATATAGGATAATAATTGATAAACTGGGCATAACTCAAGAACGGTAAATCATATAATAATAGTCTTTAAGTCAAAATAATGCTTATAATAATAGGAACGTGAATAAGTATAGTTTAGTTACTTAACAATTATACAATAAAAAAGGTATAGGATTAGTCCATAAATAGATCACAACAGTTATCATTCATTATTATTCTCAACGGGATCTAACAAACATAAATAATGGTATAAGCAGGCGCCAAAAATATATATGCGCTACACTTTGTCATTCGATTTGTGTGATAGCTGGAATACTGCACGGATACCCAAACCGAAGCAGGTGGTTATCTTAAGAGGTCAAACCTCCAGCCTTCCATTTAGAGGTCTAATCCACATGACAGTGGAACAACATCAAGAGATGTAGTCTTATGGTAACCGGTGACCAACAATAAGTTCATGCTCCATTTGTTCCTTCAGGATCCAGAAGTCCATGTGCACCATTAGTTTGAAATGAGAGTTTTCCAACTCCATTAATTTGATCCTCCATAACCACCTACCCTCGTTAAAGCACCAGACATTTGCTTTTCGTCCTCTCAATGTCGTAAGCAACACTCCAGAAGTGAGAAGGCAGTGAATAGGACTTCCTTGGCAGTGGTCGTATGCACGTGGACATGTGTGAGCATTTCGAGAGGGAAAGCTAATTCTCTCCACCCTCGACCATACCAGGGAATTTAGGGGGGCTATTAGCATTTTAAGTAAATCACAGATTAACAATTTATCTTCTACACCAATAAAATCTCTGCAAAATTATAAAACTTTTATCCTGTCGAGTTCCAGACTTCTTATGCCGACTTCATTTTGGAATGGAAGATAATGTATATGGTTCATGAGGTAACGGTAGCAAAAATAGACAAAGAATTGTTATGTAAACTGGGACCGTTGTCAAAAATGAATTATAGTTTCCAGACCATCGAAAAACCTAACTAATACTGTATAAAGATTTCGCCATTCTCAATAGTACAGTCTAATTTTAGTCCACTTTGAATGGGAATCAAAAACTACCAAGTAATCAATCAAGGTGATCACAAGTGTTAAGCGAAGTACGAGGGAGATTGTCACGTCCCGAAAACAGTTTACTCTAAAGCTTTAAGTTGGTCGCTCTTCATGTTGCCTTTCTCCAACTGACACTTATCTAGCATGGTAGCACCTGAAGCAACGTATTCCAACCAATGTGATTCGATCAGGTTGACACGGCGTGTAAGCTCAACGCCACCACATCAGATTAGCAATTAAGGTCGGGATACTATACAGTAAAGCATAACTGAGTATTGTAAAACACATGTTTACTACGAGCTACATGCAAACAGGATATGCAGAAGGTTGTTTTCGCTACCTAATGGAAATGGATGCATCCGTTTACGGAATGGGGCTTGGAAATCAGTTTTGCAGTTAACATCTTCAACTCCTGATAGCCAATTTTATGTTGGCTGAAAGTAAATAATCAACGGTTTGACTATGAAGCATTTAGACAATTATCCGGGATACACTAACTCGCAGTTCTGAAATAAAAATTGTAGTTTGTTATTAGGTTACGTTATTGGTCGTCATTTATGAACTATTCTCCAAATTTTACGTGTTAGAGTGTAACTTCTGCAACATATCACTACAAGAAGCATCGTACTATGTCTAAATAGTAGACTACTTCTCGATATCGCTATTCCATTAGAATTAAGAAAATGACTCGAACACTGTGACAAAGCATTTTGATAGTTGAATTCAACTGTTCAATGATCTTGGACACTAAAAGCGTCTGTCGACATTACCACCCAGTGTTCAAACTTGGTAGCCGGATGAATTTGAGTGACTTACTTAAAATTGAACACACTGAAAGAAGTGTCTTGCGTTTTCAGAACCATAAGTTAGCTCCTTATGTTCTACTTATCCGGATAGTTTTTCAGTGTAGTCGTGGAGTATCTGATGTGTGTGTAGTGACTTTCTTCGTATCATCCGTAAGGAAATCCAGTTTCATTACTTAAAATCCCACCTGGAATATAGTCTTCTTGGTTTGGTCGCTCCTAAGTTTCCTCCAACTTATTTCCCTACAGCAGATAACATTGTCTGTCGAGGTAGGTAATGATTGGACATACGTAACACATGTTCCAGCCACCATAGTCGATGAACAGCCATAACAGGCATCAATCGTAATGAACTTTCAATATTCTGACCTATTTCTACATCCTCAATCTAGGATATATTCACTGATTTTTTTCAACCGATTCGGCAATAAACGTAGTTTTCGACTTGAATTTCAGTCAACAAGTATTCACTTGTACATCTGATACAGCTACATTTGACCAAGTGATTTATAAAAAGGAAGGATTTCGTCAAAATACCAATTACGAAATTGTTTAGTTATTTTATGATCAGGCCATCCATTTAGCATCTAAACAATAACACATGTAAAACGAATGTTTCCTAAGCAATCCATTTATTCATTCTGGTTAGTGTTTTCTATCACGATTGTTTTATACGGGATGGCGTTGCTGACCTCATGCCCAGCCCGGGCCGGCAGTAAACCTAAAAGAGCTACAGGCGGTGTTGGCCAGATACCATCAGCAATAGCCTACTGTGGGAGAGAACAAACCAGCTTCCAGCTGAAGAGGAAATTAGGAAACACGCTAGAGGTCAATAGGACATACATTACGGAAATTATCAAATTATATCACGAAACAAGTGCTAACTTGGAATCCCGAAGGGAAAAGAGAAAGACCAAGGAATATATTGTGTCGGGAATCGGAAGTAAACATCAAAGGAACGAATGCAACTGGAAAGGATTGCCCAGGGTAGAGTTGGGTGGAGAATGCTGATGGGTGGCCTATGCTCCATCATAAGGGGTAACAGGCATAAGTAAGTAATTCGTGTGTTCAACAACTCTTCAGACCTCTGATTTAATCCTTCTATACGATGAAATTAACCTTATCATGCACAGATACATACGCAAGACAGTAGAGAATATAACCATTATTCATGATAAACACATATCTTATTAGTATAGGGATAATAATCATGTGCTCACTAGTGACTAGTTTCAAGATGGATTTCTTGGAGTTCTAGTGAGAAGCTGCGACCAGTGGAGTTCAATCCGTGTCGAGTGTGCGACAGTTACACATCTCAGACAATGAATGAAGATTTGTGCAAGATCATGAAGTCAGACATGAACAACATTGGATGTTAAAAAATATAATTGACATGTTTATTTCTTACAAAGATGGTAGAATAATATACGTTATTAGTTTTTTTGTAATAATAGTTTCAAGAAAGACTAACTGTTCCATTCAATTCGAGAAAACCAATTGTCATTTACAAAAGACCAAGTTTATGCTCTATCATTAATTGGGGCATTCCAACAGATTCAGAATCTTCCGCAGCTGAAAAACAAAAAGAAGGATGGTAATAAAGTAACGATTTAAGTTATAAATGTGATCGATTACAAATGTATGTAGAGAGATTGACAGTGATTAAAGAATTACTGGGAAGAAGCAACAGTAGCACATTATAGTCCATCATCTTACCATAAGTTTTCCAGTAAACGTTTTATTCCGGAGACCAGCAGGTTTAACTTCAAAACACGAAAGAAACCCCGAAGGTTGAGAGGAAGCATGTTGCCAAATGATTCTCGAAATTGACGAGATAGTTTTCATGTTTCACTCTTTATAATAGTTAATAGTTCGCTTCAATAAACACTGAAATGTGATGAGAATTTTTTAAAACTATAGATTTTACGAAAACTCATCAGCCATTACAGACAATGGATTGTGGAAACACTGAGAATTATGCCCCCGAATGTCCTCGCACGGTCGAGAGTGGAGAGAAATGGAATTGAGGAAGAAAAGCGAATGTTCGATGTTCTAACAAGGTCGGTGGATACGGAGGATCTACCAAGCATAGTTGGAAAACCTTCATTCCAAACTAATGGTGTACATGAACTCCAGGATCTTAAAGGAACAAATGGAGTATGAACTAATTGTTGGTCACTGGCTACCATGAGATTACATCTCTTGACGTTACTTCACTGTCTTGTGGATTAAACCTCTAAGTGAAATGCTCTGGGAGTGGTCTACTAAAAAACACCTGCTTTAGTTTGGGCATCTGGGAAATATTCTAACCCCTCCTTCCTACACACACAAATCGAATGACGAAGTGTAGTGCATATATATTTGGCGCCTGCTTGTACCAATATTTGTGTTTAAAAAATAAATGTCATAAACACTATACACTCATCAGACAATAATACAAATCCTTCAGTTAAATATCAATTGGTTGGTCACTACTTCAACATAATTTCTCTTTTTGTCAGGTATAAATGAGTGCTGGAGAAATGTTGAGTGTTCATAACAGTCAGTCAGTAACAACGTAAAAAGTCGTACGTACGTACATCAGTTCCGGTTGCCATGATACATCATAACAGTGATACAATTGTCGACTCAAATTCCGTAGTGGTAGAGGTAGCAAGAGTATAAGCAATAATCGTAAACATTAGGGTTTGAAGATGTTATTCAAGGAGTATAATCCAGTGAAACAAATTTGGAAAGAAAATAAGGGACATGAAGAATTGAGAAGAATAGAATTTGAGAGAACACAAAGAGTGGATGCACCTGCACCATTGCAAATGATTTTGAGCCATGTCACATTCAAGGTCTCTAACCATTGGTTGCTATCGTCACACGGACTCCAACTATGTAGTCTACACTACCAGCATGTCTCAGTCCATTAGTCAGTGACATCGTAGATTTGTGCTATGTTTCGGTCTGGCCGCTACTAGCTTTCTTCCAACCTACTCCTACACCAGAAAACATCGCACGTCGGAGCAGTCGGTGGTTGAGCATAA